AAGACACTACCCAGAGATTTCACCCTCATTTTGCAAGGACTTTATGATCTGAGTTTGGGTTTCCTATAGGCGCAAGCCCCTATAGTTAATTATCCCTCCCAATAGCGAGAGAGAACATTCGATTAAGGCTAGTCATCAAACAGATACGTAGAGGCACATATTATCTGGTGCATAGTATTTAAAATGGATGGTGGGGTAATGGTGATGAACCCGATTAGGATCCCATGGTTCCGTCGTCCAGGGCCATCATGGTCTCTGGTCTACTTAGAGGAGGTAGTCGGCAACCCTGATAAAATGATCCTTGTTGGCATCCATGGGCTACTTCGTCCAAGAGTAACTTATAGACTTTGGGTGAATATTTGTCTAAGTGGAGAAATTTGAATCCATCTTAGCTAATAGAGGGCTTTTTTTCCTATCGATTATATCATATTGATTCATTGCTTAATGATTTGAAGCCGTTAGGGAATATATAGGCTCTGACCATGATCGTAATTTAGTGGTGTCATTTGGTGGAAAAATCACTCAGTTCAGAGGGTCTCAATCATAACCGTTTACCTATTGTACTATTTGGCAATGAAATCATCGATGTAGTGCCATTTGGTGGCGAAACAACTGGTAAATGATACGTGTCACACCCTTACTAACAAAAGATAATTTGAGAATAAATCCTAGTGATATTTTCAACCAGGCATTCGCTCTTTGAGAGGCTGAGAGCTAAATAGATTTTCTAGCTTGTCAACCTCGACAAACTGTTGCGATTGATGGATGAATATTTTTACCTTAAGTGTTTTGGTATTTTTTTATCTCAATTTTAAATATTTCAAGTTTTGGTGATTTTTTAAATTTGGATTTTCATGGGCATTTAGGAGGCATTTTAAATGTTTGGGTCCCATCAAGTAGAGATTTTCTACCAACACTGCCATCATCGGGATTTTCATGGGCATTTTTGCTTTATCGACTGAGCCTTGTCGGCTATGTCCACTCACTGATAGAGGATCGAGTTCGTTTCAAGCTTTATGCCTTTATTAACAAATTTTCTTTGTTATAGACCTTGAAGGTCTAATATAATATATATAAAAAATATCACAGTTGGTGCTGCAACCTTATATGTCAATTCCTTTATTGTGCTTGAACGTAAATTTATTATTTGACCGGTGCAGCATCCTCAAACATCATGTGTGTACTCACGACATGCTCGTTGGGGCTCATGCGCGTACATGTATTTGCATGCATTTTGCATAATACTTTTGCATAGCGGTTGCATATAAATGTGCAGTGCAGCGATTGTACAAAACATATTTGCATGGCATATTATATAAGTGTAGTGTAATTGATGTGTATAGTCAACTTGCATATTCATACACAAGATCATACTTTCATCTGCATATAAGCATATTTATGTATGCATTTGTGTATTTGCATGTGCGCATGCATGTTGACATATGTGTTTACATCTCGCATAATGTATTTGCAAGCAAGTTCTCACTACACGACATATTTTACAAGTTGTATAATATGCTTGCATGATATTTTTTTTGTATTATGTAACATATATACGCATAATGTGATTTTAAATGTATGCATAGTGCATTCCATACATTACAGCATGTATATGCATGATGCATTTTGCGCAATGACTTAATGCGGTGGCACACGACATGTATGTACAATGTAGTTATGTCTTGCTTATTTGTTTGCATAATATGTCTGCATAATGATAATGCGTGCATGTGCAATATATCGACATGTAAATACGGTACATTGTTATAACGCAATGCATGTTGTGATACCGACTGACGTATTTGCATGAATTATTATTCTCATTGCAATGCATGCACTGGGGGCATTATAAAGTGTTTGGCATTATTTAGCTATGTAAAAATTATCATTCGAGCGTGCACAATATTCTATTTGGAAGCTCATAGATATCTTCTGTCTGCTTGTATGAGTGTAGAGTACCCAGTGGCGTAACGCTGTGTTGCAAGTCATTTGTCGCTTTATGCAGGTAAACTGTCGTGCACTAATAAATCTCCAGTGTGCGTTCAAAGATAATTGAATTTGCTACAATTCTTTTGCATTTACTATAATCCTTATGCATTTTGCTTGCGGATAGCATGTGGCATACATGATGAGCCTCATGCAATAGCTCATAGGTGCTTGCATTTGTTATAGAGTAAGTTTCCTTCAGCATCTTACAAGTGCTTGTATTCGTTGCTCATTGACCATCTCTGCTTACGAGGGAATCAGCATATCGCTTTACACTTAATGATTGTTAAAACATTCACTATCTGTTACTGCTCATCACCTGTAGATGAATTATCGTGCATATGATGACTCTTTCGTCATTGCTAGTAGGTGCTCGTATTCATTGTGCACTTCACTATGCATGTTTGAATTCATCGCATGTTGGCTATCAAACTCTTCTACCTATAGGAAACTCATGCATTTGCTAGATGTTTGATTGGCATTGACAATGAGGGTATCCTTGCAATCATTTTGTAAGCTGCTTGCATATGTCTGCAGGGAGTATTACCATTCGTGGGGGTTTGATGTATTTGATTATTCATATGTTGTTGCTTGTGGATGAACCATTATGTACATCATGAGTTTTTAACATCACATGTGTTTGCGTTCATTGCATATTGATTTTTAACGTTCATAGTAACTGCTACATGTATTTGCAAGCTTACTACATGAAGTATTATTGTTTGCAAATAAGTTAGCATGATTGCTTGGAGTGCAATGGCATTCACTACACACAAACTTCATTCATTTCAAATTCATCGCATGCATCAAATTGTTGTGTCCACTGTGTCAAATTCTTCTATTTGTAAAGGCAATTGTGTTTGCTTGCATGACTAATATGAGCAGCATTTTGCTCTCGTTTGCAGGGTGAATATTCAAGTCATTTGATATAATTGTCCATCATTTGTGTGCATCTGAAGGTTTTGGTTAAAAGACGAGTATAACCAATATGGATCAACCAATTATTGCATTTGGTCACCTGACAAGGATCTCCAATTAGATGTGATTGATGATTATGTGTTAATAGGGGTCGAGACACTTAGAATATGAGGGACATGTGTCGATATTGGCAACCAATAGTTGGTGCATGTCGAAATCTTATAAGCCAAGAGGCTTTCCAAGAGGTGGTTGTGCATTATAAGTGGAAAATAAGTGGCTCTAAAAACTGTTGGGGAAGTCATTTGGGACAAAAAAATGAGTATCAAGTTTTATCAGAGATGTTGCATGCTAATCAACATAAGATAGGACTGAAGAACTTCAAAAAATTGAAGTGTGGCATGCAAGAGACAAGCGATAGGAGAGCCTCCTCTAAAAAGCCCTAATGGGGAACTTCCCTTCACCAATTTTCATCCAAAGACATAGCACAGTTGACAGTATGATCAAATTTGTTCAAATTTTAGTGAGTTTGAAGAGAAAATTAATCATTGGAAAGATCTGAGCATAAAAAAGCCTAGAAATCATATTGGTCATTTATTCTAAATCTATGAATACACATGAGTATAACATGTACATGCAAGCATGAATACAAAAAGAAATTGTAAGATTTTGGTTAAAAGATGCTTGATTCAAATCTTTAAGGTCCCTAGTCTTATCCTTCTTCTTTTTTTAAGATGGACCCCAAATCAAATCTCCTCCTAAATTGTGAATGAGCACCTTAACTATGGCATAGCCGTGCTAGAGCTGTGCTTGATCCATTTGCACTTGTGCCTGCACGCATTGCAAATTGAGCACATCCTATTGATTCATCCCATGTCAAGCCTGTTAGAGCTACCTGCATATGAAGTTGCCCGTAATGGCACATGCCTGCTAAACTTCCCTAACCTAGCTGATATAAGACGAAGTAAAGCTTCATCAGCCAAAAATAGCCTGAAATCCTAAGTTCTGCAGTAAAATGAATCTACCCCAATCAAAAGTAACTAATATGGCATTATGGCCAAAGCTAATCCTAATTACTTACTCAGAATTAAAACTTTGGCTTAGAATCATGGTAGACCAGTCCAGTCGGTCCACACAGGACTGGCCCAGCGCAACAGAGGCGGAACTTCTCCGCCTCCTGCGCATGCCGCGCATGCCATGAGAGCCATGGGAGCCTTTTTGGAAGGTTTTTTGAGGGAATTGGGAGGGAAATTTGAATGTAATGATTGTTTAGGGATTTCCTTTTGATTTGTATGCATTAAATAGTTTGTTTTACTAGGATCAGGGCATCTTGAATTTGGCTGAAATTTGAGATCTCCTACATTTAGATTTTCCTTTGGGCTCTAGCGGCGTCTAGAGATTTGGGAGAGATCGATCCTCCTCTCGAATAGAGGATCAATTGTATCTTGCTATTTTCCGTTTCCCTTTCGTCAAATAATACAAATTATCTACTATTTTTGTGGTTTTGTGCGGATTTTTGTGAAGAGTTCTCACTGTTTTCTAAAGATTGCTAGGAATTATTTGAGATCTTCAAATGATTCCTATCAAATCCACAGCGCCCACCTCCTACATACACCTCCCTCCGGCCCCTGGAAACAAGAAATACCCTATTGAATTATACAAGAAATACCCTATTGAATTATAATAATTAATTCTATACATACAGAATTAAATAGAGCACTCCATTTGTTCCTCTAACACAACCCAAATCATTTACAGCGTGTATTTCCCAACAATCTCCTTCTTGCCCAAATCAAGCATCAGCCCTATTTCAGATCAGAAGTAACTTTTTTGGACAATCCCATGAAATCAACAAATAACTCGACAGGACGATTTTTTACCGATAAAGGAATCAGTTTTTTCCAAGTACTATCAAGATAACAAAATAAAAGCATAATCTTTAATCAAAAGCTTCAATTTAACAAAAAGATTCTGGGGAATCCAAATGAATATCCAATTAAGCGAAGTATTGCAAAAAGCCACAAAGAGCGTAACCAAGACCAATATCCAAAGATCAGATTTCCGAGCAGAATGATCTTGGAGGCGGAAAAAGGACTAACCTTTCCATGGATTATGAGCCAGCAATCCTTGGTGGCGCTGTGCTTCGAGACATCATCAAAGTGGTGCAATTTCTGATCTCCCTCCATCCCTAAGACTTGGAATTTAGCACTTGAAATCCCAAATTAATCATCATAGCAACCACCGTATTGAAACTTCCACCGGAAATGATAGTAAGCTTACCAGAAAAAAGGAGCTTCTTTTCCTCCTCTCTTCCTCCGCGTTTTTGAGATCACCAGAGCTCCGAATGTAAATTGGGCGTGTGGTTTCGGGGCGACGATCATTCCATCGGCCCTGTATTTAAGGAAGCGGGACCAAGGCAGTTAAGTCATCAACACTAAAATTACTGAAACGTCCTCCAACCATTCGTAATTCTCACTTCTTCCTAAGAAAATAGGAAGCCATAAATATACCGTAGAATAAAAATAATAATTATTTTATTTATTAATTGATTAATATAAGAATTCCATATGAAAAACATTAGCTATTTTTAAATGCTTTTAATGCAGCGATTATATATTTTTTTAATTAGAAGGAATTCAAATATATTAAAAATACTTGAAATTATATAAATTTTGATACAATTAAAAAGCTATGTGCTCTAATTGCATAATAAATATATTTTTTTTAAAGTTCATAATTTTTATTTTAGATATACTATGTTTAATTAAAATCATATATTTTAATAATATTTTCATATGAATAATATATTTTAAAACGATTCTGTAAATTTAATTATTCTACATGCTAAAATTAAGTAATTGCATATGCTATTTATTAGATGTTCTATTTAATTTATCCAAATATAAATTATTTGAGATAATAGGTAAGAAAATTTATTTATATCTTTTTAAATAAATAGTAATTAAAAGATCAATCGATTTTAAGATCAACAATATAATGATAATTCTTTTATTATGTTGGAATAGTATTTATTTAAGCAATTTGAATGAACTTAATAAATGAGAATTGCAAATATGCCAAAAGTCATATTATATTGATATTTTATATTTCAATAAAATAAATTGTAAATAAATTTATAAGTTGATAAACTAATATTAGAAACCAAAGTCTAATCTACTAGAATTATTTTTAATAAATATTATATATTATTTTAAAATTTAATATAGGTATTAAAATATATTTCTAAAAGTTGAAGTAAGAAAGATTAAATAATGAAAATTTTATTAAATTTATTTAAGTGATACAAAATTTTAAATAAAATTCAAATCAAATAAATACTTATATATTTAAATCACTTTTAATTGATTTTATCAATTTTTTATTGCAGTCATTACAATAAATATTTTTTTTATTTAAAATAAAATTTACAATAAAATATTCACTAAGCTGAATATAAAATTTCGAACTTTCAAAGCCGCTTACTAGCACTTTCTAGAATGCGTGTAAAATTCCATACCTACCCACAAGCGGGGGCAGCACGCACCCAGCTAATTGTTGCTCGCATAGGTTTCTTTTTACGCACGTGAAAATAAATTAACTTAATTTTGTTGCTCGCATACTATATTTATTCAAATTACACTAAGCCATGAAAATTTTTTTAGCAAAGAAATTTTGATTTAAATTTAATGAGAACAAACTTTTTTTATTTATTAAATTTATTTTATTTTAAAATAAATATAGTACATAATTAACTTGAATAGTGTAATTTGAATACTAATATAAATTTAGCGTAGCGATTGTGACTTTGGATAATCAAGTCATAAAAAATACACGTTTTAGCCATCCCGACATTTTTGTTCAAAGTGATGGTAAAATAGATGAAGATATTATTAGTAGAATTCAAGTTGGATGGTTGAAATGGATTAATGCATCGGGCATGTTATGTGATTGAAAAGTACCCATCAAACTTAAGGGGAAATTCTATAAGTGCAGGTTTTTTATGTCGAATATTGGCCATTAAAATAGAAGCATAAAATTAAGTTAAATGTTGCAGGGATAAGAATGCTCAAGTGGATGAATGACTTTACTCTTAGAGATAAAATTTGAAACGAGTACATAGGTGAAAATGTTGGAGTAGCTCCAATAATAGATAAGATTATAGTGAGTCATTTTAGATGGTTTGGCCACATAAAATATCATTGGCAACTCATGTTGAATTATTTTGTTAAAGCTTATTCTATTAGAATTTTAAGGCTATAATAACCTCAAAATTGAACTCATAGAGACACTTATCTCGACTATAAAAATGTAAAAGCCAATGACCATTTAGTCTTTCAATAATGTTTTGAGGTTTTAGCCACATCAAATTCTCAATTTGAGTTCATTTAGGATTTGTTTTGCCTGTTTTTGTTAGTGTATCATAATGTGCTCCAGTGACACATTATACTACTGCGATCAGGAGCACGAACTCCTGATCCTCTGCGTCTGTCGCCAAATCCTAACGGCACTCTGACATTCTAACTAACTGTCTCCACCAATGCTATATAATACGCATGCTGTAAATCAATACCATGGATGAAATGGAAAACTCCTCTTGAATCATCTTCTCCGTCTCTATCTTCTCTATAGTTCTATTTTACTAATCTCTGCAGGTATTCATTCAGTTTTGAGTGACTACTATGTTTTATAAAAATTGTTTATAAAGTTATTGCGAGGAAAATAATTTTTTTTTTTTTAAGTGGCTTCATGATATAGAAAGTTCTTGAAAATAATGTAAAAATAATAATTAAATAAAAAAAGTGTTGATAATTGCTAATTCACCATACTGATGCGCTTTCATTATTCCCAAAAAAAGTGTTGACAATGGGCTTCAATTTATTTTTAATAATATTTATTTAAAAATATATGTTGAATGTCGTCCACTTTGAATATTTTGTCGTGCTTGCTTTGGTCAGAAACGGTGACTTTGAGCTGAGCTTTCAATTTTCCATTCAACCCACCTTATTCATGCTAGAAAAAAATAGTCGCAACGAATTTTCTTTTTTAATACAAAGAGGCATATTTTTAGACGCCATAACTGAAGAAGTCTATCCATTGAATTTAGGGGCGGATAAATAGAACTTTTATTACGTCATCGGACGTAGCTCTACGTTCGGTCAGAGGATTGTTATTCGGTTTTTGCTCGGTATTTGGTCGGTATTGCTAGGTATTCTTTGGTAATAACGAGGAATACCGCTCTGTGAAGATCAATACCGAGCAATACCGGGTAATCTCAAAAAATACCGAGAACTCGGTATTTTTTGGGATTACTCGGTATTTTGTCTTCACATAATGATATTTCTCGTTATTGTTGGTATTGCTCGGTATTTGCTCGGTATTTCTCATTTTGTGCCTGCGATCTTAGTGCCGGCCGAACGTAGCTCTACGTATGTTCACCAGACCAAATAAAAGTTCGGATAAATGACATTTTTAAAATGTTAGGCAATAAATTGCAAAGTATATATATATATATACTGATCATAATTTAATTATAATGATTTAAAATTTTAAATTTTAATTTGAAATGAATAAGATATAAAAATTAATTGAGATTTTATATACTTCATTTATCTTTAGTTAAAATAATTTCACCTAATTTTCATCAAAAGATAATTTTAATAAATAAAAAAAAAATGTTCAAACTTTTTTCTAATAAATATTTTTTAAAAAAAGATTGTTTGAGGATATTTTGATATAATTTATATTAAGATAAATTTGAAAATTGTTAGATATATTTTAAATTTATTTATTTGATGATTTTCTTTTCAAAATTCAAACTAATATGTGAGCGCCACAGCGGTACATTGTTTTCATAATGAGAGCTAATAAAGCTAACGATTCCAAACTCTAATGCATGATGGAGGTATGTAATGGCTGGTCCAAGCAGGCAGAATTAATGGACTGGCCGTCCGCCCCCGCCACTATCGTCGCCCCTCTTCCGCCGCCGCTGACCATCGCCTTCAGCCGCGGCCAAGATCGGCCGTCCAAAAAATATCTTGAAATCTTCTTAGTAACTTTAATGAAATGATTCATGCGCATATTGAATAATTTTCATAGATCTACCATTCTCTCGTTGCATTTTATCATATTGAACTACATTTACTTTTATGTATAGACTCTACAATTTAATTAAAGAAAGTCAAATATATGTATTCTAAACTTAAATTTTATGATGAATCGTTATCAAATAAGATCAAATTGGGTCAAATTGGACTACATATTTGTAATAGCCTGAATTTTGATTCAGACAAATAAATTTTTTCAACAAATATTATAAGTCAAATTTTAAAATCGTCTTTGCCTTAAGATAAATATTATTGTATTTTAATTATACTAAATTTTTCATAATTTTTAGGCACTCGTTAAAATTTTTAAGAAATTAACACATATCGGTACAAGTAGGAATTTCAGGACCGTAAGGTGTCCGTTTTGCAAATCGGTTTTATCAAAAAATTTTAAATAAAATGTGTTATTTTATAGGTTTTTTTTCTATAATTTTTAAAAATTCTAAAATAGATTTATATGAATTTCTAATAAAAATTGAATAAATTAAGTAATTATATTAATGTTTTATTATTATGTATTATAAAATATCTTTTAAAGCTGGCATTAAGAATTTATTTAATCCCTTTTTCCTCATCTTCATTTCGGCTAAATATTGCACAACGATTTTCATCATTTAAACTTGTTTAAAAATTTACTTTTCTCGCTCTAAGTAATAATTATCCTATATCTTATTTTAATAAATTTGTATTTTTGATATATTTTTGATCAAATTTATATTTTCGTTATTGAAAAATAAGAATAATTTTATATTGATAAAATTTTTATTGTATTTTGTATGTGATAGATCTCATCAATCTTAGTATTTTGACAGAAGTATATATTGAATTTTCAATGATTAAATTTAAAGATATATATTTTTTTTTAATTATATGCAGTACAAGAATTTGATAGATTTCTCTTTTGATTATATCATCAAAAAATTATCTTGATCAGGAACAAATCTCGAGGCAAAATCAAGTTGGACACTTCCAAAATTAAATTTGGAACCATATCAACTCCAATTTTAGCAAACTTATAGTTGAACTGAACGTCTTGAAAAGACGAACCAAATGACACCAAATTCGACTTAACCGAGCCCAAATGGGTCCAAATCAAAGACTCAAATCATATTTGGAAGGTTCAAAATATAAATTGGATAATCAAATGATTTCCAAATATGACATGCTTCTAGTCAAATCGAGCGGCTCGACGAGAAAATTCCAAGGAGCCCAAGATCGCTAAATTTTAACATCATTAAGATATTCAAATGCCCATTAAATGATCTACGATCCAGAGGAACAATATCGACCATTTATTCAAACAACTTCCAACATACCCTTGACCTTCCTTATTTTTACTGGCCATGACACTTCCATCATACCCCCTCATTTCTCATGAAAAATGAAATCTAAGGAAGGAATAGAAGAAAGAGAGAGAAACTAGATTTCCCTTGCCACTAAACTTCTCAACCACCATCGGATTTTTTCCCGGCCACGAACTGACGCCGGACTTCTATTCCTCCACTGACTGGCACCGGAATTCCACCCGGCCACCAACTTACGCTAGACTTCCACCCAGCCAATGATTATCATTGGACTTCTCCCCAACAATTGTCGTCTGGTGTGAGATCTCGTTTCCTTACTGTTCCTCTCTGAATTGGATTTTCCTCCCAGGATCGGCCGGGACGATATTGAGATCGTCCAGGCCGATCAGTGCATTGAAAACGGCTGATTTCTGGAGTGTTTTCTGGAATGAGGGCGTCACATATGGTGACTACGGTCCTTTTGACCTCCGTCGCCTGATTACGGTCCTTCCAACCTCTATCGTCATACAACGATCTTTTCGACCTCTATTGCCTACTGACTATGGTCCTTCCGACCTCCATTGCCAGACAACGGTCCTTCCGACCTTTGTTGCTAGACTATGATCTTTCCAACCTCTGTTGCACATCGACTACGGTCCTTCTGACCTCAATCGCCATATAACAGTCCTTCTGACCACTATCACGTGACTACGGTCTTTTAGATCTTCGTCGCCCATCGACTATGGTCTTGTCGACCAAACAAACATGTTAATATTGATTCTTTCAATTCCCACCATGTAGTGCACTCTATATGATATATGTTTGCTACATCAATCCAAGGCATTCCCCCCAAGGAAGGGTCTCATTTGTAATCAATTACAAACACTAGTATATTCGTTCGTACTTGGTCATGCCCCTTAGTTTTTCCCCATTTTCAAGGGTTTTCACGTAAAAAATTTTGGTGTCTCTTATGAATGCTACACCCTCTCTTTTATCCGATTGTGTGTTGGATCTTCGTACAAAGCTAAAACGTTGAATTTAATATTTCTTTACCACCACAAATATTCTAGGATGCAACACCTGTATTTATACATTTATGTATTTCGTACATGACATGATTTACATTGCATTAAAAAAGATATCATTTACATGTAATTAAGGAAGGCTAGCTGTTAACACTACAATGAATACATGTTAGCTCTTAAAATATAATATCCTATATATGAAGGTGAGCCAATAGACTTTCTTTTAAATAAAAGGTTGTGGTGTTGTCTTAGTTATAGATTCTAACTGATTGACTGAATTATGTCGACGGGTAGAGAGTGATGACTCTTAAATAATTATTGAAAGTCACATGTGAAAATTGATAAATTAAGAGCTATGACATATAACATATGTACATAAGAAAACACCACATTAAAATTGAATGCCATGCCTTGCTTTTCATAATTATATTTATGATGATATTTATCTTATTTATAATTCATTAAACTGGTTGATAGATTGATAATTCGGACTGTTATTAATATTAATATAATATATCTTAACATACTAACATGATTCATTTGGTGATAATACTATTTATCGTATATCTTTTGACTTCATTGAACATATTGATTTTATTATTATTATTTTGAAGATTTTTATTACTTATATAAAGTAATGATTGACATTGGCTAGAATTAAAACATATATATTAACTACTACGTCGAGGGATCAGTGCAATATTTTGAGGCATGTAATTGTTAGTTGCATTTGCTGATTATTATTTATATTGATAATTCATAGAAGCTTTGATATATTTTTAAAAAGAGAAAATAGATAATTCTTTCAAATTTAATTCTCGGGCGTCACAACATTTGTGTTGAAAATACATACTTTAATCATGATCATCAAATTAAGCCCTCCCTGCTCATCTCTACCCACCATCTCTGTCATCACCATAGTCGGTCGTGTCCATCGTCACCGTCCACCACCACACTCGTCTTTCACCATCTTAGATCAAGTATTGCTTCAAATACATTGTTATTTTACTTTGCATTCTCTCCTTTCAACCAAACTAAATAAATATATTAATAAAATCATGCATCTGTAGTAGACTAAAAAAAAAAACAATTCAAAAACATTTTCAATGCATTTATTTATTTTTTTTCTCTATATTCCTTTTACTCTAAATTCTTATTTTATCAAACCAAATTGCCCCTTGGATAGTTAAATAAAATTGAACTTAATTAAAAAATATATGTTTCACATATTACATACTTTGAGCAGGTCCAATGATGAAAGGAAACATTTGAATGAACCAGGTCCATACTCCCAAAACTAATTAGGAATCCAAAATTATACAATTAAGAAAGCAAACAGAAGGGCTTTCCATGATTGATGGATCAAAAGAACCAAATTGCAAGAACATAAATTAATCAACAAAAAAACAATCACTACAGATAATTAAGCTTACAGTAAAAAAACACCATTGATTAATATCTTCTCAAGGAGATATTTCCAGCAAGGAATGGGAAGAACATTGCACTCATTGTAGCTATCACCTCATTGTTCTTTTGTGTCTGCATGACATGACACCAAGTTTGTCATTTATATCATGAAATTATATATATACAGCAAAGATGGATATGTAAGAGCTTGATTAAATCATTGCTGCATGTCAAATTTAAAATACATTCTTCTAATTACTTATAATATATATATTTTTTGAACGGGTATCCACCCGCTATCCTTAAAAGGGTGATTGACGGCGTGACTAATCCTCAGTTGACCTAGAAGAGGCACTCACCTCAAAAATCTCCAGGTCCGCACTTGATTGGGCCCCACTTAAGAGGCAATATTGCTCGATGGGTTCCCAATCGTACTCGCTCACCAACCAAACTAAGTATCCGTGGGTTTTTTTTTTCATTTAAGTTGCATCCTTAAAAGGTATATTAACTTTGAAATAATATTTTAAATAAAAGTTGACAACTAAAAAAATAGATTATGGTGGTAAGTTAAACAGGCTTATGAGCTAGCTCAAGCCTTATTTATATATGGTTCGTGAGCTAAATCAGATGAGCTAACTAATCAAATTTGTGCCAATCATAACTCCACTTGTCGGCTCATTAGCCGGCTCGTTTAAAAAATATTATTATGAAATATATTTAAAATGTAAAGGAGCTTAAGTATAAAACTATTATATATATTTTTAATTATATTCTACTTCTTTAATGATTACTTTTTAAATTTCATGTTTTCAAAAGTATAAACTATGGGCCAGGCCCATAAGCCCATAAGATCAAAGTAAAAGTGTGAGACGTACGCAACTACTATGCCGCGTCGCCGCGGCTGAGAAGAAGCAGATCAGCTGCAACGACGGCCGCTCCTCCGCCCTTTCTTCCAGTCGCCGCCGCCTCCGGATGAATTTTCTTCTTCACCATCCTCGTTATCATCTGCCACGTCACCATTCCAACGGTAGAAAATTTTAAACTAGACTGGACTGCACAAACAGAAAAAAACAGAGTAAGCCGTAACAAATGATAAAACATTACTCTTTGTATCCTTTGAGCAGCAGCAACAGTCTCCGACTTTGATGATCCAAAATAATCTCCTTTCTTCTTCCTCTTAACCTGCTTTTCCTCCTTAGCCCCACTCTTCAATTTCAAAGGAGGAGCGCTTTTATTTACGCCGGCAATGGCGGGTGATTGTTTGCGTCCGTTATTAGCCGACTCGGTGGACAACAGATCAGCAAGCGTCGTCCTCTCCTTTCTCTCTTTCTCTTCCTTAAGCAACGGCTCGACCATCAGCTTCTCCTCCGGAACATTAACCTCAACAACAAACTGCTCTGTTTCGATCATCAAATACTCTGCTCCGGGCTGTAAAGAAGGTATTTGTGCGGGAGGCTTCGCCGGCACCTGAATTTCTTTCACCGGAAACTCGAGCTTTGGCTCTTCGGAGAAGTAAGGGAGAAAGAAAGGATGAGAGTGGCCGAGAGTGCCGATGGTGAGGATTCCGGCGAGACTAGCGTGGAGGAGGAGTGGTGTTTCGGTGTCGGGCTCGGTTCCGGCCGCCGACGGGGGCTGGTGGGCCGGATCGATTAGATCGACGATGTCGCATTCGAAAGCTACAAAACATAAGAAAATAGATTGTAGTGGAGGATTATTTGCAATTTTGCACAGTGAGAGGTTTTTGGAAGCTTTTGCTTTGTCTGTTTACTGAAAATAACATTCTTTTGTGGGGAGTGGGGGACATTACAAGCATGTTTTTTAAAAAAATTTGCAAGGCCAGTACTTATGTTATTAAATTGAATTATTCAATCTGTTTATTTAAGTGTGCTACAACAAAAAAAAAGTAATTAAAGTTTTAAAAATTTGAAAATTTTTTATTTTATAAAATCATAATAATCATATTTGAAGAAATAAACCCGTTGTTTGTTTTTTAGATAAATATGCACAAAATTTTATTTCAAATGAAATTACCCTCATTTTTATTCATGAACTAAGTATTAAACCTCAATGAAGTATGCATCTTGCATGGGACCATCACATGAAAGGAGAATAGTTTTCGTAACATGAGCTCGAGTGTAGCTCACAAATGGGACCAATGGCACGTGATAAGAAAAGGATTTGATTATAGTAGCTCAGAGAGACTTGTCAGCAAAATCAATTGCATGTGAAAAGGAGAGAATTTTGTGATAATAGCTCGCAGTAGAAGGAACCGATGGATCGTGACCTGAGCTTGATAGGGCCCTCATCAACAAATAGGAAAAGAGGATTTGAGCACGGAAGCTCGTTGGGGATTTGCCAATGGAATATGCGGTGTGATAGAAGGAGAGCATTTTGCGATAGGAGCTTGGTGGGGGTACGTTTTGAAAATAAGCATTGTATGACGGGATAAATTTTGCAGTTAAAGCTTATACGGCCGAGGAATGCAACCACATAACTTGTTGCATGTGAGAAGAATAGGATGTCAACGAGCTTTGTAGTTATACGTCCGAAGATGAATCAGGTGCAGACATGTCAGTGGTACCGAGCCGCGGTATTGAGCGAAGGGATGATGTGGCGCATTCGGGCTGGTCTCCGGACAACGTTTGGCATCAGCACAAAACAATATTTCCTGATGATGGCATCTATAGAACAACGGCATGCAAATGACTATTTGGTGAAGGCATTGCAAATTGGACAATATAAATGAAAGTTTAAATTTGATTCAAACTTTATTTAAACCATGCAAAAACAAGTTTGAACCTCCTTTAGAATAAGATTCAAACAATGTTCAAATAAAGATTTGAGTTAGTTTTTTAAAAAAATCATATTCAATTTAGTTCGAACCTAATTTGCTTGCTATTTAATAAACGGTATACATATATACAAGAGGATAATTTCATCATAAACAAACTTTCTAGCATTTTGGTCCAAAAAATAGTTAATTACTGATATTTTAAGCCATATAAAAGTAATATTTGCCAAAAAAAAAATATGCGCTGAAGAGATTTTGATGTTATTATTATAAAATAAGATATTCTGTTGTACTTCTATAATTATATAAGATTAAAGATTATATATCTATTCATTTTATTAGGCCTGTTTAAAACATGAACGAAATCATGAAAATATGAAGTTGGTATTGATGTAACTTTTGATATTTGTGTTTGTCTTCCAAACATTACATCAATGATGTTCACTTTTTTATTTTTTATTTTTTTTTACATTTAAGTCATTAAGTAAAGTTCACGCATATATTACATACACTAGCTTCGAACCCAAAATCTCTTTATTAGCAGTCAATGCCCTAACCAATAGACCAAGATGAGATCTGCTACATCAATGATATTTACATTAGATCGACTCTTCATCATGTCTATCTACACCATTTTGTTTTATTAGCTATCAAGTAAATCAATGAGACACTTTGTCCCATAACCTTTCAAAATCAATTTATACAAAGATATTTATAATATCTTCATAAGTAGTTATGATGCAGTGCATAAAGAGACCCAATCCCGTATTCTGTTACTTGCTCAGTATTCCGTTATTTGCTCTGTCTCCACTACTCTAGTATTATTTTATGTTAGTAGAATGTTATTAGACCAAGATGAGAACAACTACATCAATGATCTTTATATTAGATCGATTCTTCATCATGCCTATCTACACCATTTCGTCTTATTAGCTATCAAGTAAATCAATGAGACACTTTGTCCCATAACCTTTCAAAATCAATTTATACAAAGATATTTATAATATCTTCATAAGTAGTTATGATGCAGTGCATAAAGAGACCCAATCCCGTATTCTGTTACTTGCTCAGTATTCCGTTATTTGCTCTGTCTCCACTACTCTAGTATTATTTTATGTTAGTAGAATGTTATTTCACTTTTTGATGGTTAGCTTATTATTAGAAAAATAGATTTACACGGAGGACAAGAGGTATACTTATACACCAAGTGTAAGAAGAAAGGCAGCTTTTTACCATATTACAAGAAAAATACAGTTCTCTATTCTGGGAAGAGTTTTCTCCCTGTTCCTTTCGTTTTATTTGCTTTTCTTTGGTTTCAGATTCTTCTGCCGGAGATCCTTGTGCTACTGCCGATCCTTTGGGTTGCATCAAGTTAAGTACTATATATCTGCTACACTATATATATTCTTAAATTTTTGCATTAAAAACTTTTTTTGGAAACTATATGGAGCTTAATCAGTTAGGATTTAACTCACAAGTTTTGTGAGTAGTACAAATATATTAATATCACTATTAGATCTAAGCTACTTATGTATTCAAAATTAGTTTAATCTTCCACTGCTTTAAATGAGAATTTCTAACGCTAACAGAGGAGCCAAAGGATACTGGAGGAATCTGTAGTTGGGCCTAGAGGACTTGATTGGCTAAAAGATCGAGCTCAGAAGATGAATACTAATACTTCTTTAAACGCTTAAAAAGGAGTACAGAGGAAGATTGGCCATGGCCTCCTGAGAAAATGTTTCTTCTTTATCTTATACAAATTTCAAAAGAATTCGTGTAGATCTCAAACTTTTTCAGGGGCTTGCAAGATGATACCATTAATCAATCTGCTTCAATTCTAATGTGTTAACCAAATATAAATGGAGGCACAGATTAACTGCAGAGAGTTTCAGGCATAGAGGGAATTAATTGGGCAGAAGAAGTGGCACCAATTGACCTGTAGTGCTGGGAGAGTTTCAGGAGGAGAGGGTGTCACTTGGGAGAAATTATTCCGTGCGGAGTCTGGACGGAAATTTTTTGTCCGGATTATGAGTGTACACATTGTGTATAACTTTTATATATATTTTGATTCAAACTGTGTACAAACTATTTGTACACTCACAGTGCTGACAGAAACTTTCCGTCTGGACTCCGCACGAAATAATTTATCGTCAGTTGGGATGGGAAGGGAATGCTAAACAACAACATATATGTGGGTAATGATCAATAGCTTGGCTCTAAGCACCGACCAAAATGGTGTTGGGAGAGTTCCTAAAAGAATTTTGGGTTTAGAGGGCACTGACAACTGACAAGCAAGGAATGGTTGCATTGGTTCACCTATAACGTGTTGTCCAAGCTAAAAGGGATCCACAGCCTCAACAGTTAACCCGACGGGTTGAGATCACACCGACCTAATACTTGGTAGCTCATGGAAGAAGATGGTCCAAAAAAGACTCATCTAAGAGATGTTAAGTAGGATTCTAATGGTATTAAGAAATGCCATTATTTTTAAAATAGAACTTGAGGTCATCCTTCGGAAAGATTGTTATGTGCGGAGTTCAGATTGGAGAATTATCCGATTTTTATGAGTGTGCATAGTAAAAGAGCATTTATTGTTCACCACTGCGCTTTTGTTACGCACACTCACAAAAATCGGACGCAGCTTCGGTTCAGACTCCGCATGTAATAATCTCTCCAACTTTATATATATATATATATATATATATATATATATTAGTTTTGCATTTTTAGCAAACTTCCAAGGAGAGAGAGGCGAACCTGGAGCCGTTGTATGAGAAACCCGAGAGTAGTTGGTGGCTGGGTGCAGTTTTCGGTGCATCCAATCTAAGATCTACGGCCAGGAAAAATAATTAAGAATGCCGCATTTTAATAATTAAAATAATTTCATTCTAAATTACAGAAAAAATATTTTTGAAGGCAAAATATAGATACAAATAAATATGATAATATTTATGAAAATAATAAAAATGTGAATGATTGATATTAATAGACTGAATGAAGAATAATCAATGCGATGTTAGAAACCACAAAAATATTCCATTGAATCATACCTTCATGACGATATATTTGGACCAACAGTAGGAACTCCAGCAAGATCTCTGTAAGAGAGAGAGAGAGAGAGAGAGAGAGAGAGTTGTCGAGAGGCATAGGGTTTACAGTTTTATTTATAGTAAGCAAAGAGCGTTGTAGTGTAGTGGGAGAGAAATTATTCTGTGGAGTCTAGACATAATTTATGTTCGGACTCCAATCAAAATAGGTCAAGTCGTTTGTATACAACTTTGTGCATAGGGTGTGTATGATACGAAAAATTATTATGTGTGGAAGTGGAACCCAGTCCGGATCCCGAAGCCTGCGGCTTGATACCCCTCAGTACCGAGGTACAAACGCTCGATACCATAGCTCAATATTGCTGACATGACTCATTTTGATCGGTATCCGGATGTAGAGTGTCATTTGGCAACCGTACAGAATAATCTCTCGTATAATATATTAATATGCATCATGTGTACAAGTCATGTAATTAATTTTGATTTGAGTTTGAACACATTTGGACTCTGCACATAATAATTTCTCATAGTGATAGGGGCCTTGTACAGGAGTTTTGATTGGACAATTCAGGCCAGAGTAGATTCTCTTGGTTTGGGCCCACATATGGGATAAAGCCCATCTTCTTGGCAATCGAACATCTGGCCCACTTGTTTTGGCCTTTTACTTTGCCCGTCCAGTACAGAGCTCATTCTTTGCTAATCATCTGGTTATGTTTTACTTGTCATGTTAATCAACGACGATTGTTAATCATTCAATATTTTTAATAATATGGTGACTGATTAATTACCAAAAATTATGTGTAATTGGGTTATTAAATCAAGAAGTACATTTCGTATGAAATGACTGAGTGGACAGAGATATTTCATCTACACTATTAATCAACTTCACTATACAGCAATTTCTGTGGTCCGCAATATCAATATAAGATATTGCTGTCAGGCTGTTCAAAAGTAAGAGCATTATTATTTTAATATTAAGACCTTTTATTTTATTTGGTTTTTTTATATAATTAAATAAAAATATCATATAAATAAAAGCCTAGACTATTATAATTAAGATTATTAACTGCTAGGAAGTATGAATGTCAACACGGGCCAAAGAGAAAGAGTTTAATGTCTTAACTTTAAACAAAGATTAAGTCTCAGACAAATAAAGAGAGAGACATGAGAATGTAATAAAAGATACAAATATTTTTATATGGAAAACTCGTAAAAAGAGAAAAATCATGGGGCTTGACCCAGTTAAAATCGTTTCATTAGCGTTTAATACTGATTACAAATGATGTCCTTCCATGGGGGGAAGGCCTTTGCTTGATGTAGTAAATATATATCATATAGAGGACATTACAACGTGGTAGTTGGAAGAATCTAATGATATGAGAGTTGTTCTCAAGAGAGTGCGAGCCTGTTCATTCGGCCAGCAAGGCTGTAGTCGGGCAACAGTGGTCGGACGGACCATAGTTGGCGGGTGACAGTGGGCTGAGGGGCAGTAGTCGGCGGGCAATGGGAGGTTAGAGGGACAATAGTTGGCAGGCGATAGTGGTCAAATGGACCATAGTCGACGGGCAACAGAGGTCGGAGGGATCGTACTTGGCATCCTAGTGAAGGACCAATAATGGTTCGTCGTGAGAGGTCCAGCAGCCGTCGAAGGCCAGGTGGAAGTGCTGCAGCGGTCGACGGCCAAGCAGTGGTCCGACGAAGTTCTGGTGGAAGTCTGACGGCAGTCTACTGCCGTGTGGATCTTAGGCGGCAGTCGGCAGCTAGGTAGAAGTCTAGCACGCGAGCGGCGGCCCGATGGTGGTCCAACGATGGTTGGTTGGAACTCCGGCTTCGGTTTGCAGCCGGGTGGAAGTCCGACGACGATCGGCAGTGGGGTGAAAGTCCATGGGCGGTCTGCGACCGGGTGGAAGTCCGACGACGATCCAGTGTCATTGGGTTTGTCTCTTTAAGACATTCAATTTGACTATAAGGTGGTTAAATTTGGAGTTCATATGATCCCTAGATTAATTTTGAAAGTTTTCTACTTTAATATATCTCGAGATTCGTGCACGATTAAGACAATTTTTTTAACGTATCAAATACTATATAAATATGATATAATTTATACAATTAAATCAATATGAGAATCATTATATAATATTTTTATAAGTTTTTAATAAAATAAAATGTATATTGAGTAATGACACACTAATGTTCCAACACTCTGGTAATGCTAAGGCCAATGTTGAGGGTTCCCGACTGATCATAAAAAAAATCGCTCTGCTAGGGTTTGCGCTGCCGGGGGATTTCTCTTCGCCGCCTTGCTTGGGAGGGCTTCTCCCTCTCAAGATGGCTGCATCTCCGGAACATTTTCCTCCCCTCCGCTCTGCTTCTGTCCTTGGCCCGTCGCCAGGAGGTCTCTCTTACGCTGCCAATGTTTCTGCTCCTTCTTCCAAGCCACCGGTTTTCCCGGTTTCATTCCACTGCCCGGCTCAAAAGCTTTCATTCAAAGGTGATGATTTATCCGAAGGGAAATCACTTTGGACTTCGACCCTTATCGGCTACTCCTTAGGCCCTCGTCCTTACTACGAAAGGCTTCTCAAAGCCATGTTAAAGCTTTGGCCTCTCAAAGGTTCTTTGACTCTTCTTTCCCTTGCTGATGGATTTTTCTTACTTAAGTTCTCCACTTCGGAAGATCTGGAACTGGTGCTTTCGGGTGGCCCTTGGTTTCTTCTGGGCAAACCGTTTATTTTGCAACGCTGGTCACCAAAACTCAAGCCTAAACGGGATGAGGCAGCCCCGATTCCCATCTGGATCAAAATAGTGGATTTCCCTCTGGTTCTCTGGACTCCTACCGGAATATCCAAGGTTGCAAGTTTTATAGGCGTTCCAATTTCTGTGGACAATCTCACGGCCAATCGCTCTAGATTGACGTATGCCAGGGTATGTGTTCTCATCTCTAAGGATTCTGCTCTTCCGGAAGAAATTCCTCTTGAAATCGAAGGTGAGGATTTAGTTTTAAAAGTTTTATATGATTGGAAGCCGGAAAAATGTGAAGGTTGCGGTTCTTTTATACATCCGTTCTCCCTCTGTCCTAATAACCCGAACCCACAGCCTGTTCTTCCCCCTAAGCCCCCGCGTAATCGGGGTCGCAGCTCCTCTAGACACCATACTTCTCGTATCCATAGATCGCCATCCACCATGCCTCCTCCCAAAACTGCCACTACAGCTGAAAACTTCATCCCCCCTCAGGTTTTGATCTCCTCTGAGACTTCTTTACCGCAGACCTTGCCTAACATACCTCCACCTGCTGTTAATACCTCCACTATTCCCACTAATGTCCCGATTCCAAATCTTAACATTTCATCTCCATTGAATGTCCCGATCCCAAACCTCAATTCTCCCACTGAGGAGTCTACATCTTCTGGGCTGCCTGCTTCGCCTAGATTGTTGCTACCCCCAAAAATTCCTCTTTTAAATAAGTTTGCTTCTTTGCAAACTGATGAACAACATCTCCCAGATACTTCGGCTTCTATCTCAGATTCTGATTTAGCTTCCTCCTCCAATGCCGATATCGATTCTGGGCAATTGATCACCTCTGACCACCAATGCCATAATACCAGATCCAAATCGGATAAGGTTAAGTCTCCGAACAAGTCTAAATCTTCGAAAGGAAAATCGGCCAAGAAGGCCAATAAATAATTCCTTATGTCTTTACCAAAATTTGCTTGTTGGAACGTAAGGGGGTTTAACAGCCTGGATACTGTTAGTTCTTGCAAGTCTTTAATAAGTACTCATGATCTTAAAATGTTATGCATTTTGGAAGCCAAAATTTCTTCTACTTCTGTTTTGGATCCGTGGTTTCTCCGCTCTCATCGTCTTTTTGAAAATGAAGATTGTTGTCATAATTTTGAGGATTCCTCTGTCGGACGCATCTGGATAAAGTGGGATAATTCGGTTATTTCCTTTACTAAGATCTCCTCCTCTCCTCAATATATCCATGGCATAATTTCTGTGGGTTCCCTCCCTCCTATTTTTCTTACTGTGATTTATGCCTTCAACACTGTGGAGGAACGTAAACATCTTTGGGAGGCTATTTCTTCTATTTCTAACACTTTGGATCAACCATGGGTCATCATGGGAGACTTCAACTGTTACAGATTTGAAAGTGAAAAAGCTGGGGGCTCTTCTTCTTCCAATAGCCGTTTGGGAGAACTAAACAGCATTATTTTCAAATGTGGGGTTCATGATCTCTCCTCCACGGGTCTTTTCTACACTTGGTTCAACCAACGGGTGGAGAACCCTATTCATATAAAATTGGATAGAGTCCTGGTGAATAATGCTCTTCTGGACCTTTTTCCTACTGCCTACTACACTGTTGAATCTCATATTGGCTCGGATCATTCACCTTTAATCTTCAATTCCTCTCATGAGAAACCTAAATCTGTTAGGTTCATGTTCAAGAACTTTTGGATTAATATGGAAGGGTTTTGGGACGATGTGCTGCATGCTTTCTCTTCTAGATCTGCTAGAAGCCCTATGGCATCTTTTCATCATAGCTTAATAGAGCTTAAAAGGGTTTTTAAAAATAGATCTTGGGCGACTTCTTCTTACCTTTCTAATGCTTTGTTAGAAGTTAAGAATAAGCAACATCTTTGCTTGGTTGAACTTCAGGCTACTCCTCTTGATATGGAGATAAATCAAAACCTAAAGAAAATCAATGATGAGCTGGCTTCTTTACAAGCTAACTGGACTTCTTGGTTAGCCCAACGGGCTAAAACTTTATGGCTTTCTAAAGGAGAAGACGACCTGGGTTTTTTATTTGCTAGAATCAGAAGTCGCAATAATAAGAACTGTATCAAGGAGATTACCACTTTAGAAGGTCATTTTACTACCTTTTCTGAGATATCCAGATCCATTATAAGGCATTTTGAGGGCTTATATAATACAAACCACTCTTATCTTCAACTCCCTCTTAATATCCCCTCGGGTAACCTGGTTCCTTCTCAATTTTGTGAAATGCTTGTTGCTCCTTTATCCTATGAGGAGGTTAAAAAGGCTGTTTTTGATGGGAATGAGAACACTGCCCCTG